ATTATAATGATCATGACTGTAGATTATAGCTACTGATCAACCAGTGTGTGTTTCTAGAGGGGAATCTGCCCAGGATTGGTAATTGTCCAAATGACAGAAGGAACAGCACACACACACACACAGCACCAGCCACACACACACACACACACACACACACACACCACACAAATATGCTGAAATTGGCTCTGGCTTTCTATGGTATTCACAAAATCCACCATACACTCTTAAAATGTCTAACAAATGTCCGTTTAATAATGCTCCCTAAAATACATCGCATATAATCGCAACATAAGGTGAATTATGGAAACACCAGCCATTTGCATTTTTTTTGTATTAGGCCCAAAAAAGAAAAAGTTTACAAGAAAATCATCCTCAAGAAACTACTTCAAAGATGAAATTTTTCTAAACTTAAAGAAACTGCACTCAGATAGTTTCCTGACCAGCAGGTGTACTTACGCAGCCAGTCCAACCAGAAAAGTAAAGAAACCATGGCCAGGTCAACAGGGGACATAATTTACAAGACTGTACAGACTGGCAGCTAGGCAAGCTTTAAAATCCATCTCCCTAGCAAAGACGTGTGAATTCTTCCTGGCCTTTTAAAAGGCGCAGAAAAAACACAGAAAAATGTGTAAAAACAACAAAAGTGAGTTAAAAAAAAATCTATTTAATTTCAAGTCCCACTTTAATAAGATAATGTGTTTAAGCTGACAGAGTGGAGTCCAGTGAAATATCATTTGTCTTATTACTGTGACAGCGGCACTTGTCTGGTGTGCACAGATCCCGAGCCAAACATGAGAAACCCTTATGGCCCTCAAACCTTCTGTCAAACACAACCGGCGCATATTAAGTGAATTAATCCCTCCCCCAATCGACGTGGCTGCAATCCTTAATGCTCGGTGAAGCGCCAATGCCCAGAGGGGCCCCCGGCAGCGCCCCATGTCTCCCCCCCAGCCCACCCGGCCCCGCACGCCACCTCACCCCACCACACCAACCACCCCTCTCTCCCTAGGTCAGGAAGGCCGGCAGAAACACGTTATGTTCTTTTTTTTTATTTATCTCAATTTCACTCTTATAGTTTCTGCAGCGCCTACTCGAGAAATCGCGCTGAGGTTTATTTATCAAAAAGTTTCTCACTTTATCACCTCTCCGTTAAAAGTCATCTGTGTCTGAGCAGAGATAAGATAACTTCTTAAAGGATTTGATTTGTTACTGATCTGATTTTGAGCCTTTTAATATTACAATCGCAGGAGGGGAGTTTGTTTTCCACATTTTTTTTTGCAGAGAATAACAGGATTTATCTGGCACTGCCTCCTAGAAGTAAGAAGTTATAATGAGGTGACATTGGAGGTCAAGCAAAGGTGTCAAAATGTATTCCAGCAACTCTGCCTGCAACTTATATTTTTGCTTTTGCCTAAAGCAAATTAAGATTTATTTATTTATGTCATTTATTTATTTTTACAAAATCACACGACTGAGAGAATAGTTCTTATAAAAATGCTGCTTATTCTACAGCACCATCCTTTAGATGCATTTCAGATAATAGATTATCTACTCATACTTCGTACTTCAGGCTCTAATTATGACTCAGCTCTGCTCGGATTTGCGCGAAAGCAGCTAAGTGTTAAATCAACTTATGGTAAACATGTAGTTCAGAGGTCATTCTCATCTTTCTCCAAAAAGACTCAACGCTGCGAACACCTCTGTCACCTGACCAGTGATGTGATGTGTGTAGTAAACAGGAGCTAAAAGGTAAAATCTGGCCTCCAATCGGTGATAACCTAAAAGGCAGCATGACAAGGCTGCAAGGTGTTATTTACTTACTCAGGAGAAAAAAACAACTGTCTTTTATGTTAAATTATAGGAATTTAGTGTGATGTAGTGGTTATCAGCCAACCATTAAAGAAAGACTGGTAGTGAGAAATGAGAAAGTGTGTAAAACCAAAAAGAGCGTTGCGTAATTTGCAATTTCTTTCACTTCTTCTCGGGTAAAATCTGAGCACAAATACAAGCGACCGGCTCCATCAGATTAAATTCGTGTGGAAAAATAAGAGAGAGTCGTTGGACTTGTCTGTCACTCTTACCTCCCCTGTTTGGTGATTATCATCTCGGTTTGGAACTTGTGGAACTTGGCCCATAGCGGGTAGTTATTGAGCAGAGCCTGAGTCTTCCCGCACACCTGTAGCCCAGGTAAAGGGTAGAGAGGCGGCCGCTGGTAGCCGTGCTGAAAGCTCGCCGGGTAATTCTCCGGAGTAGGAGAGTACAAGTCTTTACCGCCTGTAGGAAACCCGTCTCCCGCCGTGGGGATGTAACCCTGCCCGGCTCCACTTCTTGGAGGCGACCGCACGCCGCCGTACGGGCAACTGCTGAGGGTCTGTGCGTAAAACCTGCCGGGCTGCGCTCCGTACCCTCCCATCGCCTGGTCCGAGTGGTACGACAGAGCCAGAGGGTCCTGCCCGCTTTGAACAGAGTCGGGGTAGTAAAACCTCGCGTCCTGAATCCCCATTTTAAACTCGGCTAGATCCTTGCCGCCGCGGTGGAGGTGACTGCTGATGTCGGTGTTCTTTCCGAAAGTTTGCGTTTCAGTCCCATTCAACATGCTGAGGTAGAGGTTGCCACCTATGCCGCCCATTTGCAGCCCCGCTCCCGGTCTGTGCGTAATGTCATAAGGCTCCACTCCAGCGTCCAGTTGAGTAAGAGCATGTACCATAAAAAAATAATCACAAAACAGCACAGTCTGGATTGTTACCCTCACTTATTACTCACAGCGCACTGACATGCCACAAACTTTACAATACGCGTCTCGGTCGCTCACGGCCTATAATTTAAAACCTCACACGGTCTCATTAGACTATTTCTATATAAACTTTTTTTTCATTATTGCCCGAGTGGGTGATTGTCTTGTCTTTTTGACTTGTGGAGTCGCTACAAGTGACTCAAACACATGCTCAGTTTTCTAACCTATGATATATACATTTTGTAAGTGGTCATATTGTGGAGGTGTGTCTGATGCAGAGACAGGACGTGATAGGCTCCGGATATGAGAGGAGCCATCCCCTCATCAGAGAGTAACACAAATTACACACGTTGCCCTCTGCAAAAAAAAAGAAAAAGAAAAAGAAAAAAGACTGTGATTGCTTTAGAAGGAAACTAAAATGTAAAAATATACACAGTACAGGAAATTTTATTAAAAAAAAACATAAACATAAACAAAAGCAACAGACTATAAATGTACAATTAAATGCCACAAACTCTCCAGTGGGAATATTTTTTGCGCATTTTCGTTAAAGGATGATCTGCTCACATGAATAATTAATGTGATTATGATATTCTGTTTTTATAGCCAGATGTTTTTTATGATGAGTTAGTGAAGTGAGCTGCAAGGACAGGGAATTAAAACTAAAGACAAATCAATTGCTTGAATCCCCGCATTAATAAGGCCAACGATTTAACTATAGTTTTTTAATTTTGACAAAGCATCAATACTATAAAGGTTTTGTGTCTCGTAAAGTAAACTCACCTCATAATTTAACTATAAATTGAATATTGCGCTTTAAGTTGATATATTTGCGATCAGATGATTCTTTAAACGTAATTTTTAAGAAGATTTATTAATAACGACTGTTTTCCCCCCGCTAAATGACTCCTCTTTGTCTTATAGTCCATCCTAAATAAACATTGTTTGATACCTTTTTTTCTAAAGTTAAAACTTGTTCGATGACAAAATAACGATTTGTTCTTATTAAGTCACAAATTAAATAAACCATCGTCACATTTTCCATGTCGCAGGGTATTTTGAGAGATTTCCACTGAAATAAAGCAGTTTTTACGTCTCTGTAATAGACAGTTGACAGGTTGGATCATCAACACCATTTTATTTTCATTTTCCATTTGATTCATGAAACGCTTAAAAAAAAGGTCCGTTAATGTCTTTATTAAGCTATAGTTGTTATTATGTCATAAAATTAATCCAAAATAACATTAATTATAATAATAAATATCATTTCTAGGAAATAAACCTCAAACTTTTCTAAAATTTATTTATAACAAGATAATACCAATTAACGCTTAACACATTTCTTGCCTTCTTTTATTTGTTAAAGATGACAAACTTAAAGACTTTATGCACCCTCATGTAGATATTCATGTTAGCATATAGTGTTAATTCAATACTACAATAAAATAACATGTTTCTATACAGAATAATCGAAGACATATGTTCCTTTAAATAAAGGAGTTTCTTTATGAGAGGTCGGGACCTGTTTCCCTCAACAGTGGAGTTGCTGCAGTAGTTGGATGACCGCAGTCCTAACAGATATGAGAAGAAGACCCGGGTTGAAAAAATACCAGAATTTTCCTTTAAGGCTTGAAATGCTCTGACTCCCAGCACAGGCCTGTATCAGGCCAAGGATAGACCCTTTTCACAGCAGACATTTTGACTGATCAAAGCAGGTAAAGTACAGTAACATATAATAACATTAACAATGACTCTATTCTATGAAGTGTCCCAGTAAGCCATGTCTAATACAGCCTTCATCAGTGTTATTAATCCCACATGTATGTTTTTTAACCCTAACCTTAACTGTCTGCTGTTAAAAGTGTCTATATTTGTGTGTTAGTGTTGGACTGAGACTATCTTTATAAATTCAAAAAGTTTGGCACAGTGTAGGCTTAGTTTGCTTGGTGTGCAGTTGTGGAACACAGAACACCTCCGAAAGCATCAGGTAGGGTTTCATTCCCAGTCAAATATGCAAAATTAACTTTCACAAACGTTTTTCGTGCTGTCATAGAGTAACTAACCAATCGCACATGATTTGGTCCATGTCTAAATGAAACAGAAAGTGGTTTGTCACACAGCAGCGCTCTCTGCTCTTTAAGACCTTTTAGTAGCTTGTTTGGCCGTCACAGGTCAGCCAGCCTGGACAGAGAATCAGCTTCATAAACACAGGTGAAAGAGATAACCCTCGGGTATCAGCAGCTGCATGTGTGACCATACACACACACACACACACCCACACACACAACACACACACACACACTACACACACACACACATTAATAGATGAAAGCCCCCCAGTGCAGGTATGACACAGTTATCCCCCTTGACACTGCCACTGCTCTAATCCCACTTCCTGTGTCTCTCCTAGCAAGGTGAGCTCATAAGGGCACACGCTGAAGTCATCAGTGTTGACACGGGTGGCGAGAGGGCCTCAGTGTGAGCGACACCACGGACGCCACGGCCAGCCAGGCGTGTCCACCCCACCCCCACCTCCCCCCTCCGGCTTCCTCTTCCTCTGCTCCCCCTGCTTCTGGCGAAAGCCCCGGGCCATCACCTTGTGAAGCACAATCAGCTTTCATTTTCTCCTGGAAGTGTTATTAGCAGGTCAGCTGGCTCTTGTGCATGAGGCAAAGCACGCAGGAAACCGCAGGTATTCTGAACAGGATAAAGCATTTCTAATCTAGGCGCAGCTCCACTCTGATGAAGCACCTTGTGATTTCTCAGGAACCACAACTTCCATCCTCTGCTGCCTCTATCTTACTGAACATAAGTCAATCTGGGTGAGCTGGATAGTGGATTCTGCTCGTAGTCATGAGAGGCCGAGTAGAGCTGCAACTGGACACTGATGTAAAATCCTGACGACTGTAAAAGAATGTAGTTAAAGCCAGTGCAGTTGGCTTGAACACTGCTTCTGTCGTCTGACAGATTTAGACGTGATAGACAGACACATCAGCAGATGTCTTCATATATAACATGTCTTTATCAACAGTATCACCTGATTAAAACAGATGATACTTGAGAAAAGGCAGAGGTGGCGATGATTGTCGGATTGTGAGATTTACACCATGAAATCATTAACTGGTGTAAAACATAACTATGATATGGAAATTAAGTTTTATTTAGTCTGTGATGTATAAATATGTATAAGTGTGGATTCCTGGCTGACGTTAAAAGGCCTCAGTATGCTTCAGATGAAGCGCTTGTCAGATAGTCAAACAGCGTGTTAAATTCCTCCTCCCAAACACCTTTCCCATGTTTGAATCAGGGACAACTTCTAGATGCAAGCAACAGTTGCCCAGTGGGGAGGTGAATTCGAACTTCTTTCTTATTTTTGCCACTTTTTGCACGTGAACCCACAATCCTGTCTCCTAGAGATTACGTTTATATATAACAAATTTGCAACAGGAGTGCGTTGGTATAGCTGAATGGTTGCAGCATGCATGGTCATATGGCTGAAGGTTGGTGACCTTTGTTGCATGTCATACCCCCTCTCTCCCCACATTCCCTGTCTGCTTCTTCACCTGTCACCATCCAATAAAGACAAAACAAAGCCCCAGAAATAATCTTGAAAAACACCAAACAAATCAGTTACAGCACATATGAACGTAATATCTGGGAGTAATAGTTGACAACAGAGTGCAATGTGTGTGATGCCATATACATTGTACAATCTACTATCTTGTCCGTACAAGTCTCACAAATTAAATCACAAAATACAGTTGTTCCCAGCCCTCCAGAACGACACATTTCCTGATCTGACGCCACTATTGACAGGATGAACTAACTGTTTCAACTGTTTTATGATCTTACAGCACTTGTGAAAGTTTAGACTAGAACACAGTTAGGTTAGGGAGAAAGCATGGTTTGGATTAAAATGCTAAAGCAGTTATAATCAATATTTTTTATAATGTTTCAAATAGAAATGTGAAAGATGTTGCATGTGGTGATATACCTATAGAGAATCATCATCTCAGTCTGCAGCTCTCTTCAGCATGAGGCTTTATAGTGGGTTTCAGCTCATTGTTTAGCTGTCTTCCCTGTTCTGGTTCACTCTCAGCGCTCTCGACTGCCGTTTTCGAAGAAAAAGTTATAAAACCCACTGTACATTGCCTGCTCAGCAGTAAATGGCAGACAAAGTTAGCAATTAGCAGGTGAACATAGTGGAGCATTTAGCAGCTTCAGAGTCAGATAGTTCCCAGAGGAGTTGGTGGAGACCAAACACAGAGCTGAAAGAGAGAGCAAAGATTGGACTTGCATTCATCAGATGGACACAAACACATCTCCAAGTTCACTATGTCAACTTAAAAGGTGATAATATGCCAATGCTGTGTTTACAAGTGTAAGGTTATGGGACCTCCGTCGTTATAGTTACAATAATAACCAGTTTGTTAGAATTACGACCACGGTCAAAGTTAAAAGAAACCAAGATTGACTGTTGATTGGAAACAAGAGAGGGATGATGATTTGTTAACTCATCCACCCCCATCTTCTCCCTCTGCAGACTTTGTGGCTCCATAACATCACCTAACTTCCTCCTTTGCTCCCAACATACAATAGTCGGATTCTTACAGCCGCTTGACGGCTTTATCACTTGAATGTATACATTTTTTGGCGAATGTCTGTTGCTCTTGTTTCTCTTGTATAAACACTTTCTCCTTTAGATGTCTTTGGATGAGACTTTGTACACAAGTTTGTCTGAGGCTTACTGAACCTTTGAGGCAGGTATAAAGTTTTGAGGTTGACACCACTTAGTTTACAGCTTGTTCCCGCTGAATCTGCACTGGAAAGGCCCACCAACCCCAATTTGAAACCTGAGGAGGCTACATGTTGCTCTAACTCATGACCACAATGTTCACTATGTCAAACTCATATATGCCTATCGTTAATACAAACTTCCTACTGTATTTCAGCCACAAGAATCTGACATGAAACCACCTAATAGCTTAAAAATAATAATTACTGTAGTGTATTTGTGTAATTGTTCCGTTGTCCTCCTCGCTCATGTTTTAAGTCAACTGTGCCTTTTGGGTGCATAACCCCTCGGCCATAAATATCCGTATCTTGACATCGCACCGATGTGGGTGGGCATGGCATGCCTGACACAGAGTTCACAAATCAAACCCAATGTACAGGCTGAGCCGTGGCAT